GTTCCTGTTTAATGGACAAAACACTTTGACCAGGCAGAAATCAAACTCGCACCACAGGTGGTGAACTGTGGGCACATTTTTTTAACAACCATGATAGTTCTCGCGAGTTCATTGAAAGCAGCCCTTTAGTCTTTGTCGTTTTATTTCTCTGTCAGTTGATATTACACTTTTTTAAAAAATTAGTTTGGAATTACGAATAGCCTTACGCGGCGTTTCTCCATTATAACTGAAGCAGAAGTCACGGTCTAGATAAAACTTGTAATGTGCCAAATCAGGCTCTTGAAAGCGAGAAATGACTTACTGAACGGTAAAAGAAAAACTGGATTTCCCTTACCTCGATCGTATTTAACACAGTTTCAAGCCTTTCTGGTACTTCAATGTGATAGCTGTCCCACGGACAGTAGTGCTCCAACATAGCTCGGTCAGAAATGAAGAACATCTTTCAGTTGTCGGCAGACTGATCCCACAATTCCTAAGTGATAGGACATTATACAGTCAATTTTCGAATCCTATCAAGGTGCTACTGTTCATAGCTCATTAACAGCTAACTCTGGTGCATCACTGCTCCCATTCGCAGCTTGAGTTCACTGTAACGTATTCATAGCCATAACAATGTAACCCATTCTCCTGATCACCTTCATGATCCCATATCCAAACTTCATGAAATATAGTCATTTATAATTGTAATTAATCAATTGGATGAGAATACGCACTCAAGCCTTATATAACGTTTATTATATGTACAATACAACATCTATGACACAGACATTAATAGGATGAGAATAGGTTACACCTCCAGGGTATACAAAAAAGATCATTCCACGGAAAAAAGTTACAAAAATGCTCAAACTCCAGGAAACAAAATGTAAATGTCGTTCATGTAATACAATAATATCAAATGGCAGAGATCGCCAATAAATTCTGTGCTAATGAAAATAATATGGATCTTATGGGGAGGTTATCGCTAAAAAAGGCGATTAAAAACAGACAAGGATTCGATAAGTGTTCAGTAACACTAACGTAGAGTAATGCTAGTGCAAAACATTGTGCGTATGTGCTACATGCAGTGCAGTGTTATCAAGTGAGGCTATCTGCGCAAACAAATGTGAATGATTAGTGCAAGGAATGAAGACTATAAATAAGAATTGACAAATAGGGACGGCTTCATCACCAACCCGAATAAATAACAATACTGAAAAAGGGAAAAGGATCAAATGGTAAAAAAGAGGAAAATTGCATGTCCAACATGCGGCAACTGGTGCAAAATTCACAAATTAATTTATGGCTAGTTAAATGTACCTCTCGATAACGATTGGCAGAACTGAAAATAACGGATATCGGGTTATGCGGTGCCACAGTATATTCAACAATTCACAAAACAGTTGCAGCAGAAACAGCGTTGAAATCTCCTGATTCACTTCTTCTTGCGCGTTCATCTACGCAGTGAGGGCAATACCAACGACCCTTTGGAGTTGCCGATATATTCACACATGGATAGTGGAACCACTGATAAGGACACTGTAAAGAAAAATCACTCAGGAATTACTAATCATAAGAGAGGGGATATCATGAATGCCCAGCAAGCTGATCCACATCACCTACCGCCTTATTATCACAGGCTACCATATCACCATAGCTTTTCTCGTTGCAGAAGCACCACTTTCGCTTTGAGTCGTCACCGTCGTCGTCATCCTCTTCGGAAACTGGAACTGTGAATAGAACGATTAATACGATGGAACCCGAACATGTTTTGCGTTTTACGGCAGCGTGGGGCTCCAGTGGAATTTTTAAAAATCTTATTAAGCAAATTGCAGCCCACATATAAGCTGCTTGACTCCAAGGTGTTATATTGTGGGAAACAAAGCATCTCTGCCACCTACTTTCGTCGTCATCCTCCGTGCTAACGTCAGCAGTGTGAACAGTGTCAATGCTTCGGTGATAATGGTGCCGCTGCCGTTGTACTGCCTCCTTGAACATTTCTTGTACGCGTGATGTTAACCTAAACGATTAAAGCAATAAACAGCAAAAAATAAAGGCAGCATTTGAAGAAAACCGGCCAGAAACAACAACAATATGCTCGAAATGATGAAGTGTCCTACTTTCGAGGTCTTCCATGTCGACTTTCTGGGCCTACAAATGTGGGCATAGTTGTTGGCGTCGTAGATGGAGTTACTTGAGCGGTCGGACACAAACTCTTAATGCAAGACAATAAGTGTTCAACTTCTTTTTGGGATCCTCATAGAATCGTTTTAGGATGCTCACCGTTTCCATCCAAAATCGTACTAACATATTTGAAACTAATCAAAAAATCCCAGTATCAAAATACAAATCAAAAACTGTACCGTGGGAGTAAGAGCAGAAGAAGGAGGCAATTCTTCCAGGATGGGGAGACTAGAAAGTGGTGTCCAACCTGAAAGGAAATGTATCTAGGAAATAGAAACCGATGTAATTGTGTTCGAAATTCGTGGATAAAAAAAGAGGTGAAACATCTCACTTTTCTCGCTGACAGCTGGAGAAACCGAGTTTGTGATCACAGTGGATGGAGCTGACTGAGATGTCTTCAAGCCGACCGAAGTTGAACGGCGCTGAAGTGAAATCTTAGGCGACTAAGAACGAAGCACAACAGCACAAAATTCCACAGTTTGCATAGAATTTATAAATTTGATACACCTAGATAACGACTAACCCTTATGATATTGTAGTCATCTATAGGAGCTTTTCTGCTTCTGATTGGTCCAGCACCAGATACCATTGGAGATTCTATCTGCAAAAACATCAACGTATCATAGAATAACACAGAGTATCACAAGAGCTGTATGCACTGAGAGACCTCCTCATCGCCGAGAGTAAACTCCGTGCGGATATAGCTGCTCAACGCATTTCCATCGGTAGCCACCCTAAATAGGCTAGTTAGATGTAGAACAAATTGCATTGGAAATCTAGGCAAAACCTATGCCAGATTCTTCTAAAAAATTAATGTGCATCAGAAAGTGATGATGAATAATGAATACCGAGAGATTTTTGCTTGAGGTTCGCTACCATTATCAACGGAGCCATTAGTGAGCTTTCTTTTCCGCTCCTTTCGTAGCGCTATGAGTGACTCGCAGTAATTCGCGAACCCTGAACAAAATAAAGCTCATCAATACAACTGGAGCAAAAGCGTGATAATAGCGAAACCTTACGCGTTTCAATGACTTCTGTGATTCCTGGATTATCTGCTTCGAGCTCATACTTAAAGTGTGTTTTCTCCTTATCAAGATATTGCATATATGTTTCCAAGACTTCTTGCATTCTCTCAGCAAGTGACACTTTCATTTCGCCCAAAAGTCGAAGTCGGTTATACTCCTGAAGACAACAATCGCAAGTAGAATGAAGTTTAGGAGTGTTCACCATGATGCTCTAGTGAGAATCGTGACTAAGATAGCTCGCTACACATATCAAGATGATGTAAGCTATCTAAAAAAGGTTTTATTCCATACCTTTTGAAGCTCCTGATAACGATGCTGCTTTTGCTCTTCAGTAAGCTGTCCTCCACAGTCGAAGAATTCTATTAGGGCCTGCCGGTTTTGGGCAAGACCAGCTAAACCAAAAAATATGCACAATTCTCTAGTTCTCTGAACGAAAATGAATGCACAGCGCAAAAAGGGAGAAATCAATGCCAAGGGCAGCGCCCTTTTGTTGCTGTATGTGTGACGTATATTACTGGTGAAATTGACAACTAAAATTTTGCAGGTACCTTACTGATGGCAATCAAAAAAAGCAACTTTTCGAAACGGTTTTTAGGTCTTACATAAAATGCTGTGGAAGAGTGAAATTAGTGTCCCAGTTTTCAGCTCTGCTCTGCTCTTCCATAAGGCTGAAACCATTTTCGCGTACACCATAAAATTGAAGAAGCACGAGGGAAAGTGTCCCAAATAGGACAGAAGGAAAATGTATAAGGGGACAAGTGGAAACAGTATAAAAGTATTCGGCCTTGANCTACCCCATTTTAAAAGGCATGGCGCGTTTCCAACTTCCATTAGAAGCCGTATGATATTTACATGATTCCGTACATGAATCGGCGAGGTTAGTCGCGCAAATCAAATAAATGTTCTCTACTTGTTTATGATCCGACACGCAACGGAGACGGATGAAAGAGACAAAAGGCTTGGCGAGATTCCATTCAGGCCAGTTGCCACTAGTAGTTACTCCCACGAGTGATACGTGCAGCCTCGTAAAATTTATAAGTTGTTATCAATACTTATGTTCTTACCACTACCAACAATTGGAGCCTACGAGCGCATATTCGTGAACACGAGGAGACATGAAAGAATTCACATGAAAAATAGCTCACCTTCGACCTGCATATCAATTTGCCGCATTTCTGTACACCGCTCTCGCAACTCAGCAGGGAGCTCATCAAGCACTGAACCATTATTATTCATATAGTCACCAACATAAGATTTATATGAAAAACTCACTTTCCAGGAAGTCATCCAGGAAAAGCATCTCCGAAGTATCAGCTCTCGGCTTACCTCAGTAGCTTTGTTAGTATTTACCTATGAAACCAAAAACGAGTTAAACGCATCGCTACATAGTAAAAGAATGAATTGTGGACAGGTAGATGGAATAAAAACCAACGGCAGTCAACAAAGTATAAATGAGGTTTCGCACGATTCATTTGAAACCACTGCAACACTAATATTAAACTGTACTAAAATCTACATTGACTCTTATTCAGACAAATCAAAAGAATAATTGGTTATAGGATATTTTCTTGCGTCATCAAACGGAAAAGCTCGATAGAACATTATACGAAGTTATACGATTGGCATCTGAAAACAAATAAGCATATCTTTGAGAACATACTTGTATAAAAGGACAAAAAAAGATATAGTCAAGGAAACATAATGAAAATAAAACGTACGGCTGGATTCTTCCAGCGCAATGCATTGGGATCCTCATTGCAAAATAACCAAGAGAGAAGCGCCATCGGAACGAGAACTCTTAGACACATGATGATAGAACCCCACCTGGAAAGGGCTTATACAAAAAACTAGCCGGAATTTTGCACACAGAATTTACAGAACTGCAATGCAGATAGTTGAATAAGAAATGATTTGGAAAAGGTTTATCAAAGCGAGGGATTGAAGTCTCCTAAATGTTAATTGGAAGCGTGCATAGTCGGTCGTCCGATCGCAACAACCGCAAAGCATTGGGTACGTGTATCGATCGTCTGACGGGCGACACAAGCGATAATACGATCGCTTGTGTCGCACGTCAGACGATCGATACGCACTCATGTGTTGTTTGGGCTAGCATTGAATCACCGCGTCGCCTTCCCTGTGCGACCGCGGCTTATGTGTCGTTACGACCGAGTATGAATGCGCCTTTTGAAGAGTTGCGAAAACAAAAGCTCTTCACTTTTTGAAGTCGAAAGGAAAATATCATTGACTAATAATCCCAACTAGCAAAAATTTGATGTTGGTTCAGAATATTGGACTCACGTGGTGAAATCCTCAGCCTCTAATCCAGTGAAAGTCAAACGGTCAGGTCGGTATCGCATCATGTCTATTGGAACCTTGAAAATTATTAGTAGTGGATTGCAAAGTATAATTTCAAGAAACATTGAAAAAAAGTTACCATTTCTCCCCAATTCCTTCTATAATGTCGATCAGTCCAAGCCTCATAGGGATCCTTGTGGTCATATGTAATAATACCAAAGTCGGGGTAGTCACCTGCATAACGAACTACATCGTCCTGGTCCATGGGCTTATAGTCTTCGGGACGAAGTCCGTATCTAAAATTGTATACTAAAAACAATGCGAAAGAAGACTAAAGCAAAGAAGAGGCAATATAAAGACATTGACACATCCACACGAACTTTAAAGCAGCAGCGCGTCTTTCTTCCTTCATTTGTTGGATAAGGTCCAGGTTTGTGATCACGTGGATACCATCCATCAAAAGTAAGAGGACCACGTACTGGAATCGTATCATTGAAGAGCAAGTAATAGTGAAGCTAAGCTTTTTTGAAACAAAATAGAAATTCAAGCAATCGCAGTAAATCAAAAACAGTAAGGAAGCACGCCAAACTGGAAGAAAATTCAAAAAAGCAAAATTACTTACGTGAAAGAATACGAGAAACGTGTAGTGACCGCCGTGAGACCGCCCGTATAGGAGGGGCAAACATCCCTAAATGAAGAGCGATTTAGCGCTAGGGTGGAGCTTCGAGACATGGTGAGCAAAATGACAAGGAAGTTCAGGTCAGTACGATCCTTCCCTCTCGCATAAGGCCGATGTCATAGTTTGCGAATCGAGCGATTCGCTAGCGAATCGCTCGATTCGCAAACTATGACATCGGCCTAAGTACAACCCCTCACCAACGTACCCTCGACCGTGACTCACCTGCTTCAAAGCTCTACATGAAAAGTAAAGAAGCAGAAGATACAATAGAATTTATGATTATGAGGGCACATGACATTTAACGCGAGACTTAAAAGATGGTGAAGAGCAGGGAAGGACAAGGCACGAAGCTACACCCGGTGGTGATGATGCAGCGCTCTCACTGTCAGTTTCTTTGTGCTCTTGTTATACGGTGATCTTTCAGAGACAAAAGTTGCCTTTTTTAAAAAATACAAAATTCATCATGGGATAATGAGATATGGTATATTCCGTTCACAAATAGAGAGTATCAGTTTGAATAAAGTTTAGCTAGAGTACGGTATGAAGTGCTCTGCGAAACAAGCTACTCATAAGATGCATAAGTGGTTCAATTTCTTATTCTGACGTCATTTTCAAAAATAGCGATGGCTCCAGTCGTTGCCCATCAATGTTGTAAGACTCACACCAGCGACTGCAGACTCGATTTTCCCTATTCGAATACCCGTAGAATATTTGCAGAGCGCTATGCCACCATTGGGCGGAAGTGGTGTAGTGACAAGTGGCGCGCTCACCACGCGAGCGGTCCGGGGATCAAATCCTGGGTCGTGAGTCGCCCGGGCCAACCAAGCCTTCCATCCCTCCGGGGTCGGTTAATTGGTACCAGACTTGTCTGGGAGGATAAAAACACTGACTTGAACATCGGCTGGCCCCCGCAAGTCATTGTATAGGCCACATCGCATTCAAATGCCACTGCGAATGTACAAATGGAAGTAGAATGCGTGCCGCATCCCAAAACGGGATTGATCAACGGCAAATGCTTTATCCTTTTTATCCTTTATGCCACCATTACTGCCCAAAAATCCCAAAATTTTGTTTTTCGCCGGAACTTTGCCTATAGAAGTGTTTCGATGGGCCCCCAGACAATACCCTACCATTTGGGCGCGGCCGCGGCGAACGCGGCCGAGTTGATAGGTGCCCGCGAACTCAGCACAGCACAGTTCGCGGGCACCTCGAGTGCGTTTTCAACGGTTCGCGGGCACAATCGACTCGGCCGCGTTCGCCGCGGCCGCGCCCAAATGGTTAGGTATTGTCTGGGAGCCGTTTCAATGCCCTGATTGCGAACGGTGATATGACTCGTTTTCGGATGGCATTTTTCTGCTTCTATGAGCTCTCCCACTTAGGTACAGTGCCTAAGGGTAAGCTTCTTGGGAAGGGGGACACTGCGTGAGTAAATTGTGCCATCCATATTAGGCGCAAGAGAAGAAGTGCTGTGGGATCAGAAGGTGAGCCCACCTCTGAGCCTCTTATCCCCAAAAGATCGCCCTCTCCCTGGCCTGATCGCGATCAAACCAGTGAGAGGGCGTAAACGAGCAGAAAACAGGCACCAGATAGCGACAAGGGTAAAAATAAATGCAATATTCCTTATCAGGACACTAAATAAGCACTGTACGCAAAGTTTGCATTGGATTTTGTGAAAAGAGCCGTCCGACTGAAAAAGGACGACGATCAACTGGCATGAAATGGCACCAGCGTGAAGAATGAATATCATATTCGTAATCAGGGCATCGAAATGCATCTAAAGGTCAAGTTTCGACAAGAAATAGAATTTTGAGATTTTGGAGCAGTAAAAGTAGAATAGTACCAAAAATTCCCT